AAGGAAAAATTATGTAAGAGAGGAATCAAGAATACATGTATAGAATTTCTAAACGATATATAAATATCTATCCCAATAATCGATAAACTATATATATATATTTTCCATCTCATGATGGAAGAAATCAGAAAAGTTAGACGAAAATTGTCAGAAGGAAATTACTCGAAAACTAAAATTGAGAATAAGAATACACGTATTATGAGAACATGTAAAAGTAGGGAATAACTTTTGAATTCATTGATTAAGAGAGTTTTATGGGTTCTATTGAAACCCAGAGAGTTTTATGGGTTCTATTGAAACCAAAAACACTAAAACAATTTAAATATGTGCTGAAGTATTAAACAGATTATATTCATTTACATATGGTTCACGTAGGGTCATCAGAGTATGATTATTCCAAGTAGGAACCTATTCTGTTCGTTATCTCCATATCCTTCTCAGATGTTGATTTCAAGGGTTCCATGTATAATGCCTCTTCACATATTTGTTATTATTATGGATTTTTTAGATTGGTCATTGTGCGTTATATTCACTTTTTCATTGTATGTTCAAGGAACAATCTATTAAGGATATTAAAGATGTAATCTTAACATTCATAACGTTTTTATTGTATCACTTTGTTTCGTTTTTGTTTAAGTTTTTTGCATAATGTTACGTTTTTCCACTATTTAAGTTTTTCGCATTTCCTGCATTATTTGTAAATAGCTTTCCGGTTATTTAGTGATCTTTAAGTCTTGTGAAGTGCTCCCACTTGTTCAACGTGGGATTATGTAAATATGATATCAGCTCCACCTTTCCTGTGATTTGTCTCCGGATTTCGTGCACTTGTTCTCATCTATTATCAATAAACGTTTTTTTTCTGGTGTTTTTTTTTTATTATTCCATAATATTATTCATTCATGAAAATTTTCTTTACAATAACAACCCGCACTTATTGCTTTATGCTCCATTGTTTTCAGTGTGTTTTATTTTTTCTTAACCAATTTATTTGACATAAAAATCTATATTGTGAATGGAATAGAATATATGGGTCTCTAGCTCGCTGGTCTGGAAAAAATAGGCGAATAGAAAGCTGCAGTTCCATCAGTGCATTTGAAAAAGTGTAAATCTATTGTGTACAAAAAGAGCACTGTTTCATATATTTAGCCAAGTATTACAGACAATGAAGGCTTGAAAAGTTAAAATTAGATATCTTTTTGTTGTTAGCGAACAGGACCACGGCCTAAGGGCTGGTGGTAGATAATTTGGCTAGCCCTAAAATTAATTAATCATTACATTAATCACTTTTCCACTACCCTTATTGATGTAGCCTTACTACCTGTATATGGGTTTTTACTGGGGGGGGGGGGTTTCTCCTGTTTGATACGATTTTATAAAGTATTACTGAAACATAATTTTTGACACAATAATATTAGCAAAAACATATAAATTGAGTTTATATATTATAACATTGACATTCACAATGAAATAATAAAATATATTTTATAAACTAGTATTGAAACATATCACTTTCATGTTATAAAATGCCTTTCTGTAAGATAAAACCCTTGACTATTTCCTTTTGTGCACTTCATAGAGGCTGGTAAAAAATTCATTGCCATTATAGCAAAGTGTCGGATTGACATGTTTTGACATAAGGTATAAACAAAATCTTCATTAGTGGATACTTTGGTGTTGCGTGAAGTCACAGCTGATCTTTTCGTTTAGGTAAGATGGCGCATAGACATGGTAAATATCATATACATGGTTTAATCTGAGTTGTCTTACCTGATCTTCTACATTCAACAAATTCAATGACAATTTAATTCAATTCATCCCCATGTCATGGTGTTGACCCAATAAAGATCCACTAACCGCTCATTGACCGTAAGTGCCGAGCAAAGTTCAAAATTGTTAATATTTTTATACGGTTTATGTTGACGTGTCTATATATATTTCAATTCAATTTCTATATTGATTCACCAAAAATGTTGGCATACAACAATGTTACATACAAAAGACAAATGATAAATACATACATGCATGCAAGTGTATCGATCAGCTAAGTCAACTATATAAGTGAAAAATCCGAACGGAACGTCAAAAAAAAAATAAAATCAGTTCTATGGTTGATCCCATGACCTTGTCAACAAATATATTCGATCAATATGTCTAATGTTGACCGCCGTTTTTCATACATTATCAAAACACTGTTAAGACATACATCGCAAAATATAGACGTGGTCAAAGAGCTCCTTTTTATAACAGAATTTTTTTTTGTAAAGACACCGTATTATTATATAGAATTATTTTAATAGGAAAAGCGTAGTTAACCCCACTTTCTCATAAATTTCGATTGGTTACCTTATTTGAAAGTCAAATATAAATGTACATTATGATATGTACTGTATGTAGGTCAGAATAAAATTAAATATCGCAAAGGTATACTTTTGTGAAAGAATAATTGATCAACTAAAAATAAATGCAAATATCAAAAATCTATCCAAATTAATTTTGAAGTTCATATTATCAACGTAAAAATTATGTCATGTAAATTATAAAGTTGGACCGACTTAATAATCAGTTATTTCAATTTACAAAAATGAAGGAATATGTAGATGAACAAAACCCCCGTAGCCTTTAAATAACCAAACATATTGAATTGAATCAATCTATTTCCGATATTCTACTTTGTATTTTCATACTGAATTTATATTTTTTTGTTTAAAAACTTGTAAAAGAATAAGATACAAGTAAACCATTTACATACTCATAGTTTGAACTGAAGATGTTACGCTCTATTTCTTGAACAATTACCAAAATCTCAAAAAACAATTTATCTGCATAACAGGAAGGTAATATCTGGTCTTAAGTATGTTACTCAATGCGACTGGAAGATTTAATACAGAATGTTCTGTCCAAGGACAGGTGCGTTATGTGCGTTAATGGAGAATTTTGAAAGGAATTCGTTTAACACTAACTACGGACATTCTCATTTACATGATAATAAATACACTGTCTCGTAAAGGGAATAAAATCAAAGAAAACCTGCAGCGGAAAGGGTGAAGAATATAAATATCGTCCGCATTTTTAACACTTCTCCGTCTTATTGCGTGTACCCTGAGGTCCACGCAGTAAATATATAAAGCGAGGTTAAACCGGATGCCATTGGCAAACGACAGGCTACGCAGGCGCGAGAATGCTAGAGAGTTCGAACCTTAGGTAACTTGCCCGTTGAATAATTCGCCTATTCAAATTAGAATGTTATTCATTGGCGCTTTTAAATCCGCATTTTGCATTTACATATTCATTGGTGGATCCAAATTTCTCTCTTATACATATGCTTTTATACACAAACTAAACATTGATTCTATAGTAGAAGCATTTTAAAAAGTAGGAAGAACTTGCAGTTTACTGTATAGATACACGTAACTTAACAGCTTGAATGCAAAATTCAACGACTAGTTCTAGCTTTTACTTCAAGTTTTCACCGGCAATAGTTTTGTGCATCAAGGCTCGCAAAATAATTTAATATTTCAGCAACCCAAATACATACAATTCTGCGTACTACAGTACAGAACTGTGCTACACGTGATCCATCAGATCTCTGTTTTTCCCATTATAGATTTCTTCTGTATAAATCCAGAACATGTGTCATGCCCAACCATTATGAGATACATGTACATGTATCGAAATAGCCCGATTTTTTACATTGACAAAACAAAAGGTCGCTAATCGGAGACAAAATTTAACAATTTACCTCTATTCCTCTATTCCTCTATTCATTTATTTATTTTTTTTTTTTGTTTTTTGTTTTACAATTACGTTGTTCCATGTTTCCAAAGATTGTAATAAAAATTATATATTTAAGAAATAAGGTATCATTTTTTGAGTTTTATTGAGATGTAAAACGGGTTGGTCACGTGATCAAATCCCATAAAGCCCGAAGGGCTTTATGGAAGATTTGATCATGTGCCTTATTACTTATATTTACATTTGTGACTTATTCATACTTTATATTTGCCTGATTGTTACTTTTAACGTGTGAAATGCGTTAAATTTTCAAACCCAACGGCATGTATGTAATCCACTAAACGCGCGTCGACCCTTTATGACGTCACAGAGAAATTACGTCGAACGTTTATCCAAACGCACATCTATGACCTCTTGACCCCATACCTGTATTTATACAGTTGTAAAAACGCTTGCTTTCAGTAGTGTTATATAACGGAAAACATTTGCAAATGTAAATATTCATAATTGAACTTGTCATAATATAAATGGGAAACGTAAAAGGAGATGCTTATCAGTAAGTTCGACCATTACATCAATGAAGGATTTGACCTCGACTTTTTTCAGCATTTATCCAATTTTTGTCAATTTGATCAGCCATTTTGTTTAGCAATTTTCACAAAATACGGATAGATATACAATTTTAGTTATGGAAACTTTCGTATGTCCCTTAAGGCCATGATAGTATTTTCATCTTTACCTTTTTTTTGTAATTCTTTCATAACAATGATGTGTTATTTAAACAAGTGTGTTTTCTATATTACATTTAATTACCTTACTGAAGTGTTTTGGATATATTGGGTTTCTTAACTTCTTTTGCACTCTCCCGACTAAGATTTCTTAATTTATTTTTTTTTTCTTTCATATGGAATTTGGAAAAATCAAGTTAGTTGGCAAAGTAAAAAAAACTGACAATATGGTGTTATAACATAACTGCATTGAAAACAACGTCATTAACATTGCTACTGACTTAAAATTACTATAAATACACATGATGATTATTATCTTCTACAAAATTAATGTTTTCACAAATCAAAGCTATTGCTGATAACAGGCATGCATTAATTTCAGATTTAATTATTTTATAAATAATTGTAATGGATCACATACCACGACTATCGGAGGCTGTCTATGTGGGACTGTGTCATGAGATAGGGAGTCCTACAGAAGTGAGGATCAGGAGAGAACTGATAGACACTTAGGAGATAGTAAATAAACCAATGAACATCATGCATGGTCATGAGAGAATGATAAGTGGGAGTCGACGTGAGGGATTCAAACTGATAACATCAGATGTGGATTGGATGTCCTGGAATCCAAAACACAAAGTTATATGTGATCTCTCTCAAGTCAGTCTCTACCGTATCCCACAACACACTGTGATCCTGATGGAGGGTGATGATCTACCACCAGGATTTACCAGACTTAATCTGATGAGTCCCTCAAATGATGAAAACATCAGATCTTCTTGTGTAACTACGAATAACAATTTTTATATTTCAAGTTCATTATTTCGCGATAACAATTTACACTCTCTGAGATGCAATGCCTTTCTCACTTCATCCATTCCTCACGGGCCCTGTTCATCCAATTTCAAATATCTAGATAATGAAGTAGATTTTGTAGTGTGCTTCAAGTCACACCATTGGCCTTTAGCAGCACTACCATGGATACAGAGATGTCGTCAACAAGGATGCCCGTCTGAGGCAGTCATATCAGAGATTTTAAACGGGGGATTCCATGTTGTTCCTATCGGCAGCACACCTGAATGTCGAGAGGAATGGAGAATATCATTTTCTTTAGCAGAACAAAAGCTCGTGTACTCAATGAATCACTGCCAATTTTTGTGTTATGGTCTTTTAAAATTTTTCTTAAAGGAAGTTATTAATTCTAAAGATACTAACCCAGTTCTTTGTTCATACTTTATCAAAACAAGTGTGTTTTGGGTAATTCAGAGTGATAATTCTATTCTATGGAAACCAGATGATTTATTGCATTATTTCTGGAAATGCTTTAAATTATTAATATATTGGGTACGTATCGGAGAATGTCCCAACTTTTTTATTCCACAAAACAACATGTTTAGAGTGAAAGTCACTGGGGCTGTACAAGCTTCATTGTTACATCAATTGCATGATTTGTGTTGTAAGGGTATATCATGTCTTCTATTAAGTCCGACTTTGAACCCTTACTTCAAAAAGGTTGTTTTGAGTAGAATATTGAGAGTTAGTTCACATGAGAGCAGTATCATAAGAAGCACTGAACTAGAAATACGTTTCTTTGAAGAATTAATCCCACTTACATCTGGCTTTTGTTGTAAGGAATACTCCGTATTTGCAGTTTACATGAATCAAATAGAGAGATTAATTAGAGAAAGACTAACAGTTCATCAGACCGTTATGTTACAATGTATTACATCTGCTGTCTTAAGGAATACTGCCCTATTAATACAGAACAGAATAAATTCAAATAAAAACCGCACTGTTTATTACTATTACAGTAAAGTAGAAACATTGTTAAGACTGTCATGTACAATAGGTTACGTGTTTGAAATTTTCTATATTGCTATGTACTTCTACAGAACATGTAGGTATGAGCGTTTACTCACTTGTTTACAGAAAGCACAGGAGAGGATATCACTTCCTTTTATTATGTATCATGGTTATGTAAATATAGATATGTACGAGCAATTCACTGCGGGGAGGTCTTTGGATAAAAAAATCAGGAGAGCAATAGCATTTGACATTGTTATATGAGAGGCTCATTTGCATAAATGAAATGGTGTTAGAGCAGAAGATCTGTAACAACAGCGGCAGGCCTGTATTATTAATTCCACCTCTAGTGATGTTACACATGTTGTTAATCCTGAATCACCACAGACTGGGTGACACAGTCAGGTCACAACAATCTCTACATAATCTACAGACTCTGCTGCTCTATGATGACGGGGTTAATCTACCCATTGTCCTCAGAGATATTTCATGGCAAATACTGGGAATCTGTCAACAAATTACGGGAGACTACTCAGGATCTCTTCAGTCCTATCAACATTCATTACAACAATATCCATTTAACAGGATCCAGAGAGCAACTCTCTTAAGAATGAACACACTTCCTCACCGACTTTTGTAATACTATTTTTTTCAAAATGAAAATACCAGTTGTTTATTTTCGTTATTTTGTCACTTCAGAAAAGTCTGTTCACGATCCTGTAAGAATTATTTGCAATTGTTAATTAAAAATATCACTGTTTCTTATTTAGGTTTCATTATTGATTTCTTACTTCTATTATTTATTTAAATGATTATACCTGTATTGTACTAAATACTTTACTGAGATAATGTTTTCCTTGTATTTTAAAAAATAATTACGTGTCCTAAACATACCACCGAATAGTATGAATTTTAGGACCAATTATATAATATTATATATATTTGAATTTGATATAACAAATTGTCAAATTTATTTAAACTAATTCAATTTGTTTTGGCGCTGGTTATAACGAATTAAACCTGTTATCACAGATATCTTAAATTCGTTAAAAGGAGTTTTAAAATTGTAATCACGAATTAAATTCGGTCAAACGGATTTCAAAATTTGACCTCACAAATTAAAATTGTTTTAACAGTTTTTGAATCCGTCATAACAAATTTGTAGAATTGGTAAATTCAAATTCACATATATTTTTCTATAGATCCTAATTATCAAATTTTCTTAAACTTTCATTCGTTATCACCATTCCAGTTTCAGAATTTGTTTAAACGATTAAAATCTGTTGTAACAAATTTTTGAATTCGATAACAAATTCAACAAAGAACTTTATTCGATAATGCTAATATTTGCCCCCAAATCAAACTTTGATGGAAATATATTTAATTAAGTTCTTAAACAGGGAAATATATGCTGACTTTAAAGCACTGAATATTTTCATAAGTAATGACGCCATATGAACGTAATGACGTCACCAACATGACGTAAATTTCAGTTTTTTATGAATTTTACAGAAAAATGTACATATTTCGTCGATATTTTGAGTAAAAGTCACCGAGCGCATATGTGTTCAGGATCAATATTTTGATATAATGTGTAGAATGATAATATCAATGAAATATGTCAATATTGTTCCTGAACAAACATGCGCTCTATAAATTTTAAAGCCAAAATTGTTGAAATTTTGTCCATTTTGTCCTCTTTCTGAGAAAGGATATAAAATCGGACTAGTTTGTGACGTCATAAAAACAACAATTGTGAATACACTGTTTTGACACTATAATATTTTCTGTTAATTTATATTTCTCATACAATTTATTGAATTCAGCACATTTCAGAAAGTTTTCAAAATTTGACTTTTGTGGGGGCAAATATATGCAATATACCGCATATAGTTCTTTGTAATAAAAATTATATTCATTACAACAAACAAAAACTGTTATAACTAATTAAATTCGTTCTAACAAATTCAACGATTCATTATTTCGAAATAATTTTTTCATTTTCATTGGTTTTTAATTGATAATTCTTTAATATAATCAATTTCCGTGATTAAGAGTTTAATCAATCTTTCTCTGTTAAGTATATATTTGTTTTCTTGTGTGTGGCCGATAGAAATGATATACGTACTCCTCAACATCACATGATCTCACTTCTGGTATTATTTAATATCACGTGATCTCACCTCTGATATAATTTAAACGCCCTTGTTTATTCTCATGAATTTTTTTATTGACTTCTTAGATTGATTTCTGTTTGTTATCTTCATTTTCACTTCATTATTATTGCTAAATATGGTTAATGAAGTACAGTTTTGGTCCAATTCCTAGAAAATTGTGCCTTATCTTACAAAATATTTATTTAGCCATTTCTTTCCTTATGATACACATATATCATTGATTTTACATGAATAATTAACCGCTTACCTTCCATTTTGTTGATCATTATTTCACATCTCTAGGGCAATGTTTACAATTTATTTAATTTAGCTTATCTTCTCAGAGACAAAAGAATTGGTAGTTATTTGTACAAAAACTTTTTTTAAATATTGGAAAATTATCCCTTAATAATGTGTATTTTATGCTAAGAATAACTGTTCTGATCGAAAAACTAAATGTTCTGATCGAAAAACTGTGAATAATTCATATTGGTGTCTTATCATCAATAACAACTAGGTTGTCACAGAATGTCCTTGATAGAATGAAAAAAAAGTGCCCCCCGTTGAATGATATGATGAACGATATGGAGATAACGAATATTATTCAGGATCAAAAGTCCATATACCGTTCACGGTAGCTCAGTCGGTAGAGCGCTCACTCCGTGATCGGGAGGTCATGAGTTCGTATCTCGGCCGCGACTGACCAAGTCGTTAAAATTGGTAGCAACTGTTCCTTCGCCATGCGCTCGGCACTTTGAAGTGAAAGTTGCGGGTCCTTCGGATGAGACCTTAAAAACCGAGGCCCCGTGTTAGCGGCAGGCGTTGGCACGATAAAGATCCCTCACTGCTCAATGGCCCTGAGTGCCGAGTAAAGGTCAAAATTTGAAGCCCTTCACCGGCATACGGTGACGTCTCCATATGAGTGAAAAATTCTCGAGAGGGACGTTAAACAATATACAATCAATCAATCAATCAATCAATCAATCAAAAGTCCATAAAACAATACAAAATAAGAGCAGAGCAAACACGGACCTCCGAAACATCAGAGGTCGCAGCACAGTTAAGGTTACAAATGGAAATATCGGCGATCTTTTAAGATAAAAAATACATACTATATTAGGATGGGCGATTCTTAATAGGAATTCACTGATAAAAAATGTAATGTGGTTTAAATCTACATGTTGGGGACATTTAGATTTTTTATTTCGACTTGTCATGTGATGTCGACGTCACATGACTTTGGCAATTATACTTGCAGTTTAGAGGTCATCTATAAATTTCAATATTGTAAGGGCATAACCAAGTTAAAAATCTTAGTTTTCAAATATCTTAATGTTTTTTGAATTTATGTGTAAAATTTTGACAAGATACATTGAGGGTATGCCCTTGCAATAAATCGATTTATTAGCGCCCTTCCATTATTTTTTCAATGAATCTGCATACAATAACACGACAGTATCGCTTGTCTGGAGAATGCACGTACAGTTTATAAATAAAATATTGAAATAGACATCGTATCCAAGTTAACGGTTTTTTATTTCACTGCAAATTATATTTTATTTGGGAACAAAATACATTTTTCAATGTACAAAATGTGACTTGATCAGCCTCTCACTGTGTACAAACTGCGTCATTTTTTGCGAGATGACGTCACATTGACAAGTGCTTGCGATCGGTGCAGGTTTATATACTGTTGTGTGGGATTTAACAAACGACAAAACTGCATGTAATAGTAAGTTTGTATGTAGTATACAACTATCCAGCTGTTTGAAATAGCAAATAATTTCATTTTGTGGTATTTTGAAGACCTTATATTACGTATGACGTCATAGTAAACATTTCCCGTACAAACTAGGCCCCGCCTCCTTACTGTAACCTTAAATACGGTGGCATCAGGTGCATTAAAGAAATATATGAATGTATACCACGTGATCGTGTTATAAAGTGTTATAGTGTCCTTTATTTTTCTTCGAATTCAATGTTACTAATAAATTGATACTTTTTCGTATCATCTCAAATAAAGATGAATTTGTCTGTCTAGTAGTTATTTCATAATTTACCTCGTATAAAGCTATTATCTTCAAACATGTTTTCCCTTCAGCGCAATTCTCATTCAGCTAAACATTAAAAATGACTAAGAAATAAATGAAGATTAGTGTGCAAGGATAAACATTAATTTAAGACACCTAGACAAGTATAGGTTAGTTCAATTTTTCTTCCAACGCCCCTTTTAAAAAGAATGCATAAATTTCACAATTAAAAAAAAAACCTGATAGAACAGGAAGTAGTTAATTTTAAAAGCAAGGAAAAACTCAATTGTAAAAAAAAAGTTTTTCGTCACACGAAAGGTTTCTCTTGCCTTAAAATTAAGGTCCGAGAGGAAGGTTGAATGCTGAAAAAGGTTCAACATTTTGCACTTAATTTAAGTGGACTCTTTAACTTCCCTTTTTTATTTAACTAAAGAAATACAATCACCCATGTAATAAGTCTACATTTCACAATTATTAACTTCAACAATTGCAATGTGACCATTATTCCATTTTCTTTCTAATCGAAGTCTAACAGTCATTTATTGGCATATCTACTATAGGTAAATGCTCTCACTTACATTACATCAGAGGACAGAGGGCAAGTTTTATAATTGAAATCAGACTTTAAAACTTCAACAGAAGGTAATATTTAGATAAATGACCATTGATTAAGTCTTTCTACGTAAGAGTAATAAATTACAATTTTTCATTGATAATTTCCTTAAGAGTTAGAATTTGGAATTTTTATTAGAGATAAAATGTACAGTATTAATCCTTTAAAACTAACTTGGAATATGGGCGGCAGAACAATGTTCTCGTTAGAAGTCCTTCGTCTCTAATGTGTTTGTTATAGCTTTAAATTAAAAAAAAAACATGCATATAAACCATGTTGTAGCCAAACAAAAACTATTGAGTATGTTCTAAGAAATGCATGTGTCGTCTACTTTTAAGCATTATTCAGCATCTAAATAAAATCTAAGAGTAATTAGCTTTCTATTTAACGAATAACAGTCAAGTTATTTGGTCTCATGATATGATCAATCTAATTGCTCTCTCGATAATTGGTATGAAGGCCGAAGGCGTCAAAATATCACGCGAGCAAATTGATTGATAATCATCATAAAACAAAAAACAAGACAGGTATCCCTTATATTTACATTTTAACCTGATCTTTAATTCCACTAAAAAACCCGAGTAATAAATCTCAGCATTCCCAGGTATATTACTTAGCAACACGCAGCGAAAAAGGACGTTCTGAGCAAAATGTATTTTGGGGTTACTAATTAATTACTTTATTTGTAGTTTTATCTCATAGAAAGGCATTAGAAAATGTAATTTTTTACTGTTAGCCAGAAATTCCTATACGATATCTATGGATTATACATTACTGCAAGAGAATCTGAAATTCAAAGAAAACACGGTTCTCTAACCCCAAAGAGAATAATTAAGTTGTACTTCATGATCTATTACTAAGAGTTTCTACCAAAGAGGTAATTTTGGTCAATATTGCAAATTACATATACCGGTATTAGAATGCTATGTGTATTCAGACTGTAAAACAAACGTTATTTATGAAAAAATATTAAATTTATTATAACCACTCATGTGATGTGAAGCCATTAAATCAATTAAGCCCACCTTCTTTACGATTACCGTTAACATGTATATCCAATCAGATTAGGGACTGATAAAGAATTCGTTTGAAAATTACTTAAATAGTGTAAAATTGATATCCACTATCACCACTCAAAAAGAGGAGAAATGATAATGATGTATAATTACTATTACAGGGGATTGTTCTGGGCCTTGTTTGTTTTTTTCATTTAGGCTTTCCGAATCAGTGTCGAAACGGTATATTGCTCAATTAAATAAGAACGGCGTTTTTATTCGAGAAAATCTTTTGGCAGAGTATGACGCATATTCCATAACTATGTGTGCATCCATGTGTGGTCCAGAATGTACGTATTTTGGCGTCAATTTGCACGCTAATAAATGTCGAGTTTATTCGGGATGTCATCCGGGTAGATTAACAGATGTTCAAGTAGGATGGATTTTCTGCTATCCGGAATCAGAAGGTATTTCAATTTCATTACGGTAAAAATGGCACAAAACGAAATCTGCTAAAAGAAAATTATTCCAACCACTGAATAATATGAAACTTATGATAAAAATTAAGATATGGTAACAGAAAGAAAAAGAAAAAAATAGTACAAACTTTAGCTGCCCCTATGCAGACGGACTATTGAAAATTGACAAAAGGGAATAATTTTACTGAGAACAGTTTTTTTAAACGTTATTCTCGTGAGATTTAAAAGTGAAATAAATATAGAATGTCTAACTTCTTTTCGATTACCGTTAACATGTGTATCCAATCAGCTTATGGACTGATAAAGAATTTGTTTACAAATAACTTAAATAGTGTAAAATTTATGTTGCTTATAGCGAGCGCAGCGAGGCGGCGCGAAGCGCCGCTCGCATAGCGAGCTCTTAAAGCAACGCCTGTGCGAAGAGATAATTTGGACTACTGCACATTTATTTGATAGATTTTTTTGATGCCGTAATTTCGACCCACAATGCATCACTTGTTTTAGCTACGTTCTCCCAAGAATGACGGCAAATGTTCAACAAAAAGTTTACTCGCCTTTACTTAATGGATATATATTGAAGATAAATAGAAAGGAAACGTTTTTCACTAACTTTCAGCACTGTTCAGGCTTTTTCTCGATATATTGCAACTTACATAGGACGTCATGTGACGTCAGAGTCTAGACGCACCAAATGTCACGTGCGGTTTGACGAACCCGATCTAAATCAAAACAACAGAAGAGTTTGCGCTCGCTCTAACGGTCGCACCGTCAACATATTAACAACTCAAAAAGAGGAGAGATGTTAATGGTGTATAATTACTATTACAAGCGAATGTTCTAGGCCTTGGTTTTTAATTTAACTCCTCAAATACAAACTTATAGGCGAGTATATAGGGTATGTGTGCAGCCATGTGTTGTCCAGAATGTACGTATTTTGGTGTTAATTTGCACACAAAGAAATGTCGCGTTTACTCGGGAAGTCAGCCAGATAATTCAACAGAAATTCAAGTAGGATGGAAATACTACGGTCCGGAATCTAATAAATTTTTAATTACAGTACAGCCCGTACATACAAAACTAGTAAAAATGTGTGGTGGCTACTGGGTAATATAAACGCGAAGATAAACCTTAAAGAAATAGAAAAAATAAATATAAAATTAACACCCTTTGATACTACGGCTCTATACATAAGAAATATATAAAATTGACAATAGGGAATATTTTTTTACTCAAAACAATAATACATCAAACCATTTATAATGATAAGCTTTCCTTAAGATATTTTGCAGCCACTGGATATGAAACTTATGATGAAACTTACGACATGGTACGAGAAGAAATGGATAAAAAAGTGACAGCATTTAGACCGATTCCTATATGCATAAGGCATATTTAAAAAAAAAAACGAGGACAGTAAATAATATTTACTCAAAACAGATATTTCTTTAAACTTTTTTTGTTCAACAATGACAAATGAAATTTATTTAGTATGTCTTAATATTCATTGAAATCTTAACAAAATTGTTATTCGACGCTGCCTTACATTAATAGATGGAACATACCTGTTGGGTACAGATTGAAAGAAGTGAATAAGATACTCATTCATAAATATTAATATTACTGTTTCAATTTTTTTCTTTAACCCTATTTCTTTAATAATTTTTAGGAAATTAACGTCCATTGAATTGTAAAGCTTTGCTTGCTGATGATCATACAGTGTCTGCTGTTTACACTATTTATCCCTGTAACAACCAATGGTCAGTCAATGTCCAGTGTGATATGACCACCACGGGTGGAGGTTGGACGGTCAGTTTCAGAATTATTCAATTTTTTTTAGTGCATGGATTTATAACTGAAAACTTTTGAATACTAAAATTAATGACAATTCTTCATCAATCCCATAGGTTATACGGACGCGTGTTGAGGGATCAATCGCATAGGTTATACAGAGGCGTGTTGAGGGATCAATCCCATAGGTTATACAGAGGCGTGTTGAGGGATCAACCGATTTCAACAAAACGTGGAATGAGTACAAAGATGGATTTGGTTCTGTGAACTCATCTTATTGGTTGGGTAAAGATTTTTTTGTTTTCTTTTTACGAAAAATTGTATCCTTATTTTGAATCTATAAGAAATATAATATAGTGATATTTCACTGTGAAATTACTAATTTTCGTGGGGGAGGGGGGAGTTAAATTTCGTTGTTTTCGAGGTATGAAGAGACCAACAAATTAATGACCACTGCAAAATGTATATAATCATATGCATTACTACTAAACATTTTTCAACCACAAATTCAAATCCCCATAAATCAATATTTTTTTCCCCTCAAAGAACGAAAATTTGACTCTATGAAAATATGTGATTTTACAGTACTTTCATTGCTTCGACTTAGAAGAATATTTTGTACGTGTTTAAATATATGAGTTGTCTGTACATACATGAGATGCATGTACATGTTTATAGATACATGATTTTTATAAATCAGTTGCTCCTATGTAAGATTCACATGATCAATATCACTATTTTAAGGAATTGACGTCATTCATCTGTTAACCAAACAGAAGCCGTCTCTGTACGTGTCTATAACGCTGACCAATAAAACTACTCTATATCAGCAGTACGGGGAATTCTCCATATCCAACGAGGCAGACAACTACAGACTTTACCTGAATGGACCGACCACAGGAATACTAGGTGAGATGTCAGTTATTCAACAGACTAGTTGTACATTGGAATGGTTAGTTATCTATCTGTGTGGGAGATATCAATTATTAAACAGACTAGTTGTACATTGGAGAGGTTAGTTATGTTTCTGTTTTGGAGATGTCAATTATTTACCAGGCTAGTTGTACATTGGATAGGTTAGTTATGTATCTGTGTGGGAGATGTCAATTATTTAACAGACTAGTTGTACATTGGAATGGTTAGTTATCTATCTGTGTGTGAGATGTCAATTATTTAACAGACTAGTTGTACATTGGATAGGTTAGTTATCTATCTGTGTGGGAGATGTCAATTATTTAACAGACTAGTTGTACATTGGATAGGTTAGTTATCTATCTGTGTGGGAGATGTCTGTTATTTAACAGACTAGTTGTACATTGGATAGGTTAGTTATGTATCTGTCTGGGAGATGTCAATTATCTAACAGACTATTTGTACATTGTATAGGTTAGTTATGTATCTGTCTGGGAGATGTCAATTATTTAACAGACTAGTTGTACATTGGATAGTTTAGTTATCTATCTGTGTGGGAGATGTCTGTTATTTAACAGACTAGTTGTACATTGGATAGGTTAGTCATGTATCTGTCTGGGAGATGTCAATTATCTAACAGACTATTTGTACATTGTATAGGTTAGTTATGTATCTGTGTGGGAGATGTCAATTATTTAACAGACTGGTTGTACATTGGATAGGTTACTTATGTATTTGTGTGGGAGATGTGAATTATTGAAAGACTAGCTGTACATTGGATAGGTTAGTTATATATATATATGTGTGGGAGATGTCAGTTACTTACCACACTATTTGTACATTGGATAGGTTAGTTATGTATCTGTGTGGGAGATGTCAATTATTTAACAGACTAGTTGTACATTGGATAGGTTAGTTATCTATCTGTGTGGGAGATGTCAATTATTTAACAGACTAGTTGTAAATTGGATAGGTTAGTTATATATCTGTGTGGGAGATGTCAATTATTTAACAGACTAGTTGTATATTGGATAGGTTAGTTATGTGTCTGTGTAGGAGATATCAGTTATTTAACAGACAAGTTGTACACTAGATAGGTTAATTATGTTTCTCTGTGGGAGATGTCAATTATTTAACAGACTAGTTGTACATAGGATAGGTTACTTATGTTTTTGTGTGGGAGATGTCAATTATTTAACAGACTAGTTGTACATTAGATAGGTTAGTTATGTATCTGTGTGGGATATGTCAATTATTTAACAGACTGGTTGTACATTGGATAGGTTAGTTATGTATCTGTCTGGGAGATGTCAATTATTTAACAGACTAGTTGTATATTGGATAGGTTAGTTATGTATCTGTGTGGGAGATGTCAATTATTTAACAGACTAGTCGTACATTGGATAGGTTACTTATGTATCTGTGTGGGAGATGTCTGTTATTTAACAGACTAGTTGTACATTGGATAGGTTAGTTATGTTTCTGTGTGGGAGATGTCAATTATTTAACAGACTAGTTGTACATTGGATAGGTTAGTTATGTATCTGTGTGGGAGATGTCAATTATTTAACAGACTAGTTGTAAATTGGATAGGTTAGTTATATATCTGTGTGGGAGATGTCAATTATTTAACAGACTAGTTGTATATTGGATAGGTTAGTTATGTGTCTGTGTAGGAGATATCAGTTATTTAACAGACTAGTTGTACACTAGATAGGTTAGTTATGTTTCTCTGTGGGAGATGTCAATTATTTAACAGACTAGTTGTACATAGGATAGGTTACTTATGTATTTGTGTGGGAGATGTCAATTATTTAACAGACTAGTTGTACATTAGATAGGTTAGTTATGTATCTGTGTGGGATATGTCAATTATTTAACAGACTGGTTGTATATTGGATAGTTTAGTTATGTATCTGTGTGGGAGATGTCAATTATTTAACAGACTAGTTGTACATTGGATAGGTTAGTTATGTATCTGTGTGGGATATGTCAATTATTTAACAGACTGGTTGTATATTGGATAGTTTAGTTATGTATCTGTGTGGGAGATGTCAGTTATTTAACAGACTAGTTGTACATTGGATAGGTTAGTTATGTATCTGTGTAGGGAGATGTCAATTATTTAACAGACTGGTTGTGCATTGGATAGGTTAGTTATATATCTGTGTGGTAAAGTGTGAAGGAGGGTAATATCATTCATCTTTGATAATTTTGTCAATAAACAGGCCTTACAATGAGTGAATAGTGTGTGCTTGCCATGGGAAATAAAACTCTTTAGTTTGAAGAATTTAAAATGTTTATAACTGTAAAAGATCATAACCTTATAATATTTAAAATTGTATAAAAAGAAGTGTTTGAATTTTCTTTTTATTCGGAGATCAATTTACATTATCAAAAGCTATGCTTTATTCCTGCTCCACAACATTTGTTATACCACTATATACTTTTGACTGTTGACGTTATACTCAAGCTGTAGCCGAAACTGTGCGAATGTGAGAAAGACAGAGCCGTTTTAGTCCTACAATTTATGAATGTAACTACATGTATTTAGTTCCGGTGTAAAGACGAATAATGACCCCCATCGAATAATGACCGGGGGTCATTTTTCAACGACAAAAAATGACCCCCTACCCGTAGAAAAAAAAATCATTTTTTGTAGAAAAAGTGTCCTAGGGGTCATTATTTTATATGTTAGTCCTATAAAAAATTGAGCCCTATTGAAAAATGACCCCCTTTAAAGTGAAAAGAGATTCTTTAATTTCAAGTAAATAAAATTTCTTTTTAATATTCCTCCTTATAGTGTTTGCTTAAAGAATGATATTCCACTTGTTTTTAGAAATCAAATCATGCAACAATCAGGTTCCAATACTCTTTAATAGAAAAAAAAATCATTTTTCTTTCATTTCAACTTTTAGCTTGTATAAATTTGGCAAATCCTATTTGACAATGAAAGAGGAGTAAATATTTAACCCCCCCCCCTCCAAAAAAAAAATAAATAAAAATTACGTCAAATAAAAACAAACAAAGAAAAAATAAATAAATGAAAAGCGAAGTAACTGTTGAAAATTAGTAGAAGAGTAGATTATTTTAAGATTATTTTTAGTCCCTCCTTATAGAAAAATAAAGGTAGGTTAGTTTTTTTGTTGCTTTTGTTGATAATCGACTTCCTCCTAAATAAGTTAAGGGGATGGGGTGGGTATTACAATTAAGAATATGCTCTGTAAAGCTATGGGCTAGTGTAAAATACACATTCTAATGCAAAAACTATACATGTAGACATAACCTTTTGATTTAGAACACAGTATTCATTACATTTCTTAATTCTTGTTTACTCCACCCTTTTACCTAGTTCTGAGTATATTTTTCAGAGAATTTAATATAAAAAACAAAGAACAAACATTTTCATTTTTGTAACGTCTTCTTTATACTGTATCATAATATGAAAAGTTAATTTCATTTTATGTCCCTGTAATCAAAGATTCGGGGGTATATAGTTTTATCGTGTCCGTCTTTATGTCTGTCTGTCTATCTGGCGGTCTGTTTCTCCGCAAAGACTTTAACATTGACCATAACTTCTCATTCATTGTAGCTATGCCTTTCATATTCAATATGCGTATATTCGTTGTGACAAGACCTTACTTTGGGTACCACCAAATTTGACCTTTTGCCCTTTACGTTGGAGTTTGTCCCATTTTTCAAAAAAATTCCAAATTCTTAATTTTACTTTTAAACGGTAAATACTAGACTTAAGTACTCTCATACTTCACAGATGTAATACTTTAAACAATAAAATGCTTTCTTTGTTTGTTATTACTGGAATTAACGGAAGCAGCTGTTGCAGAAAAAATACATAACCCGCGTAAGCGGGTTATGTATTTTTTTTCTGCAATAGCTGCGACCGTTAATTCCAGTAATAACAAACAAAGAAAGACATTTAATTGTTTATATTTATATCTGTTTAAATAATCATTCAAAGAAGGATTAAAAAGTTTAATTATTGTATTAATGATGTGAATGTCTTTATACGTTTCATTGATGGAACAGCCACTGATCAAGGAATTTGTACAGGCGACATGCCTAATGTAGTTCATGCAGTGATTAACGCAATGGGTTTTCTTAAGAAATAAAGGAGAAAATATTCAATGGATGTAAATATTGTTACGTGTTACATTAAACCTTTAAGAAACCATCAACTTTGACCCTTTGACCTTTGAGTTTGACCAATCTTTCAAACACTTAGCCATTTATTTTGAACAATTGGTGCTAGGGCTTTCCTATTTTGCAATAGTATTTCTTGTAAGAAGACCCTACTTTGGGTACCATTATATTTAAGAAAAGCTTAATCTTCGCTATGTTGCCATACAGGGGCATAGCTGTTTCACAAACACATCTTTTTATATATAAGAGGAGTTGCGGATAACAGATGGATACCCCAAAGCGTAACAGACGAACGGACATCCCGATCACAATATACCCTCCCGCTTTTCAAGCGGAGGATATAATAATATATGATACTGTTGATTTTTTCTGTCAGTACGATGATTTCCACCATCGAAAAACAATGTTTACCTTACCCTTTAGGCTCGATAAATCTTTACTCCTTTAGATTCTGAATCATCGCATTAACCTTAAAATATAGCTATAATCGTATGTTATAAGATCAACATATCATCAATTTATTCCAAATAAGCTCAGGTGAGCATTTTGGCCAATATGCTTCTTTATCTATTTTTTTTTTTTGCCCCCTAAAAATTTCAGCTTTAATCCACAGGGAGTCATTTTTCTTCACGGGGGTTCTGCAAATTTGTAGGGTGGTGCCACTTTTTCTACGTCGAATAATGACCGGGGTCATTTTTCGCTATCGAAAAATGACCCCCGGTCATTATTCGATGGGGGTCATTATTCGTCTTTACACCGGATCATAGTGGAAGAAAACAGAAAGTACATGTATGCCATCGTCTCAAGCCACGGTCCGGTGTCCGCATATAGCTCTCTCCTACCCGTGGCTGCTTGATCACAAAAAGTGTCGTAATCTTGAATATTTACGCCTCTCTATTGTGACGTCATATTCAGTCGGTGGCAAGATTTGTTTCCATCGCAATTGAAATCATCAACTGACGTCAACAGTATGCAAGAAATATTTCCTAAACTGTGATTGGACATTGAAAGGTCGCAATAAAGTTCATCTTCCGACTATGCTTTACTCGCATTGGTCAAAATTTTAATGAGCTACGAAGAATTCTCTCCTCGTTCAACCACGGCCAGAATTGGAAAGGATCGTACATTTTAGCTGTGGTTTGCGACGATGATGTATGCAAAAGTTATTCTTTATTACTAATTAATTAACAGTGGATGAAATTTTATTTTTGTTGAATGTTTGTCAATTATAATCAATCCGAATTAATTTTCAATATTGACAAAACGATTCATACGATTAACGAGGCCGAGTCTAATTCGAGTGCGCATGCAGCTTTTTAATTTCATGCAGTCATGCAGTCATTTGTGTGACAGTACACCTTTGAAAATTATTTTAATTCTAATACAAAATTAACATTATTTGTAACTCCAACTGATCCAAAAATGTGATTTTACGACAATTATTGGAAAAAGAACGTTGAAATGGCTCTTACAACGTCACCGCTTTCTGATTTTGTAAGCAATGCATGACGCTGAAGAATGACGCATGACTCCCTTGTATGTTCAAGACGTCCATGGATATTATGCTAAAAACTCATGACAGAACTTCCCTAGAAACATACTAGCAATCTAAAAATTGCTATTTATGCCGAAAAAAATTGTATGCACCGATAATTCATCAGCAAAAATATGTATTTATACCGTAATGTGGCAATTTTAGAGGTATTATTTGCTTCGAAAAAACAAACTTAGTAATTACTACCTAGACCAATCGAGATGGTGAACTTTTTTGAAATTTCACAATTTGGTGACTGTTTACATTTGCTTTCATTTACTTGAATGAAAAAGAAATCCCAAGGGCAGAAGTACAAAAAATATGGAAAAAATGTAATAATTTGGCGATTTTCCAACAAATTCCCATAGGGTCCAATAGTAAAGTTTGACAACATTTAAGATGGCCCACTAAGAAATCGGGGTGGTAAACATTCGATTTTTTAAGCCTAAAACAATAAATATATCAGAAAAAAATCAAAAATCAAAAAAAAATTCAGAATCACTAGGGCAGAAATAATTAGATTCGGCTTCGTTAAAGTAAATGTGTACAATATAAAAAAAGCATATGATCTGATTTAACAATAAATTTTGTAAATAAGAATGATTTAGCGTTTGGTGTTTAATATTTTATCCTTAATTACAGGTGATAGCATAATGTTGACAACAGGAATGTCTGACACAAATCTGTTTGGGATGACATTTAGTACACTAGACAGAGATAATGTTGAACACAGGAATGTCTGACACAAATCTGTTTGGGGTGACATTTAGTACACTAGACAGAGATAATGATGAACACAGGAATGTCTGACACAGATCTGTTTGGGGTGGCATTTAGCACACTAGTCAGAGATAAGGATGAACACAGGAATATTTGACACAAATCTGTTTGGATGGCATTTAGTACACTAGACAGAGATAATGATGAACACAGGAATGTCTGACACAAATCTGTTTGGGATGACATTTAGTACACTAGACAGAGATAATGACGAACACAGGAATGTCTGACACAAATCTGTTTGGGGTGACATTTAGTACACTAGACAGAGATAATGATGAACACAGGAATGTCTGACACAGATCTGTTTGGGGTGGCATTTAGCACACTAGTCAGAGATAAGGATGAACACAGGAATATTTGACACAAATCTGTTTGGATGGCATTTAGTACACTAGACAGAGATAATGATGAACACAGGAATGTCTGACACAAATCTGTTTGGGATGACATTTAGTACACTAGACAGAGATAATGATGAACACAGAAATGTCTGACACAAATCTGTTTGGGATGACATTTAGTACACTAGACAGAGATAATGACGAACACAGAAATGTCTGACACAAATCTGTTTGGGATGACATTTAGTACACTAGACAGAGATAATGATGAACACAGGAATGTCTGACACAAATCTGTTTGGGATGACATTTAGTACACTAGACAGAGATAATGACGAACACAGAAATGTCTGACACAAATCTGTTTGGGATGACATTTAGAACACTAGACAGAGATAATGATGAACACAGGAATGTCTGACACAAATCTGTTTGGGGTGACATTTAGTACACTAGACAGAGATAAGGATGAACACAGGAATGTCTGACACAAATCTGTTTGGGATGACATTCCATTCAGTACACTAGACAGAGATAATGATGAACACAGGAATGTCTGACACAAATCTGTTTGGGATGACATTTAGTACACTAGACAGAGATAATGATGAACACAGGAATGTCTGACACAAATCTGTTTGGGATGACATTCCATTCAGTACACTAGACAGAGATAATGATGAACACAGGAATGTCTGACACTAATCTGTTTGGGATGATATTCAGTGCACTAGACAGAGATAATGATGAACACAGGAATGTCTGACACAAATCTGCATCTGTTTGGGATGACATTTAGTACACTAGACAGAGATAATGATGAACACAGGAATGTCTGACACAAATCTGTTTGGGGTGGCATTTAGTACACTAGACAGAGATTATGACGAACACAGGAATGTCTGACACAAATCTGTTTGGGGTGACATTTAGTACACTAGACAGAGATAATGACGAACACAGAAATGTCTGACACAAATCTGTTTGGGGTGACATTTAGTACACTAGACAGAGATAAGATGAACACAGGAATGTCTGACACAAATCTGTTTGGGGTGACATTTGGTACACTAGACAGTGATAATGATGAACACAGGAATGTCTGACACAAATCTGTTTGGGGTGGCATTTAGTACACTAGACAGAGATAATGAAGAACACAGGATCGTCTGACACAAATCTGTTTGGAATGACATTTAGTACACTAGACAGAGATAATGATGAACACAGGAATGTCTGACACAAATCTGTTTTGGGTGACATTTATACACTAGACAGAGATAATGATGAACACAGGAATGTCTGACACAAATCTGTTTGGGGTGGCATTTAGTACACTAGACAGAGATAATGATGAACACAGGAAGATCTGACACAAATCTGTTTGGGGTGACATTTAGTACACTAGACAGAAATAATGATGAACGCAGGAATGTCTGACACAAATCTGTTTGGGGTGACATTCAGTACACTAGACAGTGATAATGATGAACACAGGAATGTCTGACATAAATCTGTTTGGGGTGACATTTAGTACACTAGACAGAGATAATGATGAACTCAGGAATGTCTGACACAAATCTGTTTGGGATGACATTTAGAACACTAGACAGAGATAATGACGGGTGGAGTGCTGGTAATTGTTCTGCTTTAACTAACATTAGAGGGGGCTGGTGGTTTAACAAATGTCACTACGCCTTCCTGAACGGTCCGTGGCCCCCGGAAGATTGACATTATCCATGGTTTCCGTTACTTAGGGATGGTATAGAGATACGAGAGACTGTTATGATGATAAAAACTCATTAACAATCTGAAATGTTGTTTTTACGTAAGAGTAAGAAAATTTTATTTAACATCAGATTTTTATTTACAACAATTACAAGCACTGGGGAGCTATTTGTCGACGAGTACTTTTGGTACATTATATAGTTAAATCTGTCAAATACAGACACATCTTATTCCAATTTGGCGGACGTAACAGTATTTTGAATAAAGCAATGTTTTAAACAAGTGTATATACTGAAAGAAATTACATATTTCATAGCATTACGCAATATTTTGGAGTACACATCATAAATTCATAACACGATATGTTTCCCTGTTTTTCATTGTGAAGGAAAATTGTATGAGAGTATCCCTGCAATTTTGATTTTTTCAAGGTAAAAGATTTCACTTTCGAAAATCTCTTTAATGCATAGAAAAAATTACAGTTTTTTACTGTTGAAAAGTATTATAGAAGTGTTTCGTTTTATGGAATTTTAATTACTTTCATTGAAATTTGAGTTGCATCAGGCGAAAAAAAACCTTCGTTAAATAAACGTTATTACGTAACAAAAGCGTTTCAAAGACGTCACGTTTCGTCTGTGAGTTTGTTGATTAAAAAACGTCAATAGATAAGGCTGAACAAAAATATATTTGCGTTATAATTTGTTTCATACTTGGATATTTTTCTTGAACAACGTTAATAGTAATCTAACAACCAAGCTTTGTGATAAACGTCATGACTAACTTTTCTCTCGTCAACCTCCTTTATTTATGCAGAAATATACCTTCATCACCTTCATACGGGGTATATAAATCTCAGTTGATTCAATACCATTCAATACGCAAGAGCATGCTCTACGAATGAACATTTTCTAAAACGAGGTTAATTTTTGACAAGCAATTTTATGAAACAAGAATATCAGCAATCTTGTTTTAAGTCTTCATTTCTTAAGTTCTATGGTCGACACGACCTCGTCAGCATATACAATTTATCATTGAGTCAAATGGTGACTGACGTTTTTCATACTAATTGTTAGTCCATTATTTATACACTGAATTAACGACAGATTTTTTCATTATTTTCCTATCAAAAACACTTATTCTTCTCACGAACCACTGTGTCAAAATAAGCTGATTTTTTGTGAAAGTATTCCGGGGTGTCTCCAGAGCTAGGGTGGTTTTAAATTGATGGGTGTCTGCTTACCTCAACAAAGGACAATTAACCCCCACGAAAATTAGTGATTTCACAGTATTCTACAGATAAGAAAGTAAGGGTTCTTATCACATAGGATTCTGTAAAGGATGACTGCACTTAAGGATATGCGAAATTTCCGTGAAAATGAACTTTAAAAACAAATATTTTTCTTTTAATTGCAGGATCGAATGATTAACGTCTAATCTAAAACTACCATTTCTTAATTACAATGAAGAAAATTATTTATTTACGATGTACAAATATTCTAAGGCGGGAGTCATCACAAGTTCTTCAATATCCGTATGATAATGAGGACGGCCACTTTTTTACGGACTTTATACATAGATAGTGCAAGTTTGTCTTTTGTTCTCTATTTAACAGTACTTGTTAGTTATGTTATGTTAAAAGGAGATTAATATACAAATATGCGCTCATGGTTTAGAAGAGAAAAAACTGCTTATTCTTAAACTCACTCTCTCTGTTGTAACCAAGGACTGTGACACGTTGAATATTATAAATCTTTCCTCGGGTAATTTTGTGAAAACAATTCCATCACGTGACTTATATATAGGTGTTACATTGTTTTGCTAACTAGGACACTGTGCTCGAACACGTTAAAGAGTCACCCATCGATTTAAAATATTCTTTACTTACATCGTTTCAAACCTTTGTAAATAATGTACTTATACATGCTGTACAGAATAAATAGGAAGATGGAAAATAGAGATCTCATTTTTTATACATGTCATTCTTATTCATTCCGTCTAATTTTAGATTCATATTTACGGTATGTTAGCTCTGCCTCTCATACATGTATACATAATGTACAATCAAGGACAGGTAAGTGTTAAATTATCTATATTTAGAAAAAACATGAAATTAGTTATTACATTAAAAGTCCAAAATTATTTTTAACATTTAAATTGGGTGTCTAATATGACAAACCACTCTAATAAATATATAAAAGTTAACCTAAGTTAAGAGCAAGTTTAAAAAAAAGTTTAAAAGCAACAGAAGCGACCGAAAAAGACCCGAAACACAGCGTTAAGTGCAGTCGTTCTTTGATGTTAGTTCACCTATAATTATGTACATTAATTGAACTGTGTTATTTACTGCGCGTCACTGCTTCATTACGAATAACCTATCTAATTTTAAGCTATAAATGTCCGTGATTTTTAACTCCAAAAATAGAGTGTAGGTAAATACAAGATACTTCAAAGCGAATGTACTATTAGGGATTTTCCATTAGATTAATCTTCTAAAGTCACCTTCAGAGTTTACAGATATGGTTTGTATACCATTACATTCTTAAATACTTTTACTATATATCTATCTTCTTTGATTATAAAATGATTTATGTATATAGTTATCTTATTAAAGGCTTGTTGTGTCCTTTATATCTTCTGCTACTAGAAATAAAATAGAAAACTCTTTTTATCAATGTTTTATCGACACAATAGCTCCTGCGTCTCTTTGAACAATGGTTTAGGCCGATGTATTATAAGTTGATATTAGGCTTCATAAAGCAAATTTTGTAAATGTGAGCATAGAAATGAAAAATTATGAATCATTTTAATAAATATTTATTTCACATATCTCAAAAAACAATTGAAAATAATTTTCCAAGGGGCAAAGTTGCCATTTATTTTCTACACAGTTG